ATGGACAGCATCTGAAAGAATTACTAAAGTGAATTCATATGAATTATAAGATATAAAACCACATGAGGCACATCTATAAAATTGGAAAATTCTTAAGGCAATTCTGCTTTCTTCTCTTCCACTAGTGTTAAAGTTTCCCTTAACAATGAGACTTACTTAAGAATAGGTGGGAGGTGAAATTTAGTTAACATTCCACTTGCCAAATTCTGAACTCTAATGTGACTGTCTTCACAGAGAAAGCCTTTTCCTGATTAACACAGAGGCCCAGGGGTACATCTCCTCATGGCTTATTATAAACTTTATTCTTGGACTGATTATCTATCGATGGAGGAAATGTTGTTCTTATTCACCCTTACAATTTGCTCTAAATCTATCTTTTCTTTTGCTTTTACAGCAAATTATAATTCATTTTCACTTAAAATCTTATTTTGGTCTTTATGAGAGACACATTCCACTAGTATATTTCACAGTAGAATTCTGTTAGATGATGTTTCAATGAATGAGAAATTCCCTTGCAAAATGCGTATGGAGACTTTTTCCCCTAAAATAGAGATCAAGTTGGAAATAGATTACATGATTTCTCTCAATTCTTCATTCCTTTCAGAAGCCACATATTCACTATGCTTTATCATGGGACAGAAGTACTTTACTACCCTTGGATTCAGGCTTTAGAAAATGGTACATTGTTGGAAGTGATACTGTTTTTCATATAATGGAATTAAGGGTTAAACTCATGCTATTATATGAATATATGCAGAAAAATCACTTAACAAAATTCAACATCCTTTTATGACAGAAACTATCAATGAATGACTTGGAGAAAGGGAGTAATTCATTATAAAAAGCCCTATGAGATAAGCTCACAACTAACAAAATACTCAATGGTGGAAAGAAAGGTAAAATCTTTTCTTAATACCAAGAATAAGACAAGTTTACTTTCTTAGTCCATTTTTGTGTTTCTATAACAAAATATCTGTGGACAGGCATTTTACAGGGAAAAGGGATTTATTTAGTTCCCATTCTGGAGTTTCAAAAGCATGTTGCTTTTTCTGTTGAGGGCCCTGTGCCATAGAGAATCACATGGTGGGAGTACAAGACACACACGCTCACAGACAACAGATAGAGTGGAAGCAAAAGACTGAGTTGAGAAAGCCTAAATTCCTCTAAAACGACATCTTCTTACTGTAACAGATCCCCTCTTGTTGTATCTAACACAGTGTATGAGAAAATATGTTTTTCAAAGGGGCCATCATGACCCAATCACATACCACTAGGTCTTGACTTTTAAGTTGGCACTGCATTTCAATATCATTACACTGATGCCAAAGCTTCTAACAGATGTACTTTTGGGGTCATCCCATAATACATACTACTCTTAACTACTTTTACTCAAAATGGTCCTGGAAGTCCCAGCCAAAGCAATTAGTCAAGAAAAAGAAATAAAAGGCACACAAATCACAGAAGAAGAAATAATCTTTATTTGCAGATGACATGATCTTAAATTCAAGAAATCCAAATACATTCATGAAAAACTTTGTTGAAGCTTTTGAATAAATTTATTATTTTTGTGGAATACAAAATCAACATACAAAATAAGTTGAACTTGTATACAGTAACAATGAACTGCTTGAAAGAGAAAGAAAAACCCCTGTTTAGAATAGCATCAAAAACAAAAAGACCTCAGAAGCACAGGCAGTCAAAGCCACAATTAACATTTTGGATTGCATCAAATTGAGAAGTTTCTGTACTTCAAAAGAAACAGTCAGGAAAGTGAAGACGCAACCCACAGAATGGGAAAAAATATTTGCAAACTATGCAACAGATAAAGGGTTGATAACCAGAATCTACAAAGACATCAAGAAACTCCACAACATCAAAACAAACAACCCACTTAAGAGATGGGCCAAGGACCTCAATAGACATTTTTCAAAAGAGGAAATCCAAATGGCCAACAGGCACATGCAAAAATATTCAAGATCACTAGCAATCAGGGAAATGCAATCAAAACCACAATGAGGTTTCACCTCACCCCAGTTAGAATGGCTCACATTCAGAAATCTACCAACAATAGATGCTGGAGAGGATGTGGGGAAAAAGGGACACTAACCCACTGTTGGTGGGAATGCAAACTGGTGAAGCCACTATAGAAGTCAGTTTGGAGATTCCTCAGAAACCTGAATATAACCCTACCATTCAACCCAGCCATCCCACTCCTTGGAATTTACCCCAAGGAAATGAAATTGGCAAACAAACAAGCTGTCTGCACCTTAATGTTTATTGCAGCTCAATTCACAATAGCTAAAACCTGGAACCAACCCAAATGCCCATCAACAGTAGACTGGATAAAGAAATTATGGGACATGTACTCTATCGAATACTATACAGCAGTCAAAAACAATGAAACCCGGTCATTTGCAACAAGATGGAGGAATCTGAAAAACATTATGTCGAGTGAATTAAGCCAGTCCCAAAGGGACAAATATCATATGTTCTCTCTGATCGGTGACAACTAACTGAGCACCAAAGGGGAAACCTGTTGAAGTGAAATGGACACTATGAGAAACAGTGACTTGATCAGCTCTTGTCCCGACTGTTGATGTACAATGTAATACTTTATCAATTTTAGTATTTTCTCTTTGTTTTATTCTAGTACTATTGGTTGAACTCTGTAATTAACACACAATTATTCTTAGGTGTTTAAATTTTAACTGAAAAGTGATCCCTGTTAAATATAAGAGTGGGAATAAGAGAGGGAGGAGATGTACAATTTGGGACATGATCAAGCTGACTTGCCCCAAAAGGTGGAGTTAGAAATGTGCCAGGGGATCCCAATACAATCCTGTCAGGGTGGCATTTACCAATGCCATCTCACTATGTCCAAGTGATTAATTTTAGTTCACAATTGATCACACTGATAGGTCTAAGAGTCAAAGGGATCACACAAACAAGACTAGTGTCTGCAAATACTAACTGATAGAATAAAAAAGGGAGAGAATGATCCATCATGGGAAGCAGGATACACAGCAGACTCACAGAATGGCAGATGTCCTAAATAGCACTCTGGCCTCAGAATCAGCCCTTAAGGCATTTGGATATGGCTGAAGAACCCAAGAGAGTATTTTAGGCATGGAAAGCCAAGACACTCTGGAAAAAAAAAAGAAGACCTAAAAGACCTAAATGAAAGATCGCTGTGAGTGAGATCCCAGTGGAAAGAAAGGGGCCATCAAAGAAGGAGGTACCTTTCTCTGAAGGAAGGAGAGAACTTCCACTTTGACTATGACCCTGTTGGAATAAGATCAAAGTCGGCGAACTCAAAAGGCTTCCATAGCTTTGGCAACTCATGACTAGAGCCTAGGGAGATTACTGACACCATAAACAAGAGTGTCAAATTGTTAAGTCAACAACAGGAGTCACTGTGTACTTACTCCTCATGTGGGATCTCTGTCCTTAATGTGTTATCCAATGTGAAGTAATGCTATAACTCGTACTGAAACAGTATTTTACAGTTTGTGTTTCTGTGTGGGTGCAAACTGATGAAATCTTTACTTAATATATACTAAGTTGATCTTTAAATAAAGAGAATTGAAAATGAATCTTGATATGAACAGAATGGGAGAGGGAGCTGGAGATGGGAGGGGTGTGAGTGGGAGGGAAATTATGGGGGGCAAGCCATTGTGATCTATAAACTGTACTTTGGAAATTTATATTTACTAAATGGAAAAAAGAATAGCATCAAAAGCAATAAAAATATTAAGAGTAAATTTATATAAGATGGTGGAAATCTGTTTACTGCTGACTACAAAACATTGTTAACTATAAAATAAATTGAAAAAGAGACAACTAAATGAAAAGATGCCTCATGTCCATGGTTTGGAAAGAATTATAGACATATTAAAAGATATTAATATATTTTTATATGCATTGCATTGAATTTACTCTGAATGTGCCTTTCTCAGAAATAGAGAAAACAATCCTACCAATTGTATAAAATCGCTAAATGAAACCACCTAAAATGAAAAAAAAATCTTGAACAAGGAAAAGAAAGCTAGAGAAATTGCACTACCTGACTTTAAAATAGACTACAAAGCCATAATAATCAAAACAGCAGGTTATTTTCACATTGACATATAGCCTAATGGAAGAGAATAGGGAGCCCAGAATATATTCAAACATTTACATTCAAGTGATATTTAACAAGGATGCCAAAAAAGGACATGGAAGTCTACTCAAAAATTAATGTTGGGGAAACTGAACATGTACATGTAGAATAATGAAACTGGACCCTTATCTCACATCAGATACTAAAATCAACTCAAGGTGACTTAAAATCTTAAAAACAAGTCATGAAACTTATAATAGAAGACATAAGGCCCATTAGCTTTGATATTCATCAAAACAATGATTATTTTGATACAATACTAAAAGCATATACTTCAAAATAAAAATAGACAAACAGGATTGTATCTAACTCAACTGTTTTGCTCAGCAAAGAAAATAGAATGAAGAGACCCCTCACAGAAATGGAGAAAACATTTGCATGTATATCTGATGTAGGATTATTATCCAAAATAGGTAAGAATGCAAATAACTGAAAGGTAATAGAACAACTATATTAATAAAATGAGTTAAGTTCTCCAAGGAACTCAAACAAATGACCATAGGCACATTAAAAAGTTTTAAGTACTTGTTATCAGTGAGAAAATGTAATCAAAGTTGTAATAAGATATCACCTCATATTGGTAATATCAAAATGATAGCAGATAACAAGTCTTGAGTAGTTAGAGCAAAGGGAAACTTTGTGGGTTGCTAGTGAAAATATGTTAATACAGCAATTATTAAAAAAGGGTATAAGTCTCTCAGAAAATAGAACTATAATATGATCTAGCAATTTTATTTCTGGATGTATATCCAAAAGAAATTGTATCAGTATCTTGAAGATAGATTGCACTCCCATGGTGATTGCTGCATTATTTATTTATTTTTTCTTATTAAATTTTTAGGTGAACATGATTTCAAATTAAATTATAATCAAAGGTTGAGTGATCCATTAAATAATAATAGCCAAGATATGAATATCAACCTGGATGTGCACTGATGGAGGAATTGACATCTATATAATAACAGATTATTATTCAGCTTTATGAAGGAAGGAAATTTTGTTATTGCAACTACAAGAATGAGTCTGGGATACATTATGGTAAATGAAATAAATCAGACACAGAAAGAGAAATAACATACTATTTCACTTATATGTGGAATCTAAAAAAATCAAGTTCATGTGAATGGTTGCTGTAATTGGATATTGCAAGTGGGGAATGGAGAAGCTGACCAAAGGGTATCAAATTTCAGTTATAAAAGATCAGTAATTTTTGAAGACATAATGTATAGTATGGTCACTATGATTAATAACACTTTATTGTATACTTGAAATTTGCTAAGAGAGGATATTTTTTTTTTATCTTTTATTTAATGAATATAAATTTCCAAAGTACGACTCATGGGTTACAATGGCTTTCCCCCCCATACCGTCCCTCCCACCCACAACCCTCCCCTTTCCCACTCCCTCTCCCCTTCCATTCACATCAAGATTCATTTTCGATTATCTTAATATACAGAAGATCAGCTTAGTATACCTTAAGTAAGGATTTCAACAGTTTGTTCCCACACAGAAACATAAAGTGAAAAATAATAGATGATTTTTTTTTAAATCATGAGGAAATCAGATCAGACCTATTGTCATGTTTAATCCCAGTGAGAGTCAAGTTGGGAATTGATAATTTCTTTCTTTTTTTTTTTTTACAGAAGATCAGTTTAGTGTACATTAAGTAAAGATTTCAATCGTTTGCACCCCCATAGAAACACAAAGTGAAATATACTGTTTGAGTACTCGTTATAGCATTAAGCCTCAGTGTACAGCACATTAAGGACAGAGATCCTACATGAGGAGTAAGTGCACAGTGACTCCTGTTGTTGACTTTACAAATTGACACTCCTGTTTATGGCATCAATAATCTCCCTATGCACCAGTCATGAGTTTCCAAGGCTATGGAAGCCCCTTGAGTTCTCCAACTCTAAGAGAGGATATTAAACATTCTCTCTACAGCAAACAAAATGCAAGGTGATAGCTATCTTAGTTAGCATCATAGTAATTACTTTAAAATGTGTATGTATAATTTGTATACCATAAATGTGCAGAAGTTTTATTTATCAATTACACTTCATTAATGCTTCAAATAATATCTCATGCATTTCTGTTACTTTCATTTTCCCTTTTGCAGCTATGGCATTGTTGTAAATAAAACACAGCTCAGGTGGTTCATTTGGGAGGACAGAAGGCATTTGGAAGAGATTCACTGTATCTAACCCAATAAAGTACATTGTGAAGCACATGAGACCCAGCAACTTCAAGAGAAGCAAAGCTACCAGCTAAGCCTATCTTCTATTAAACACAACATAGCCAAGACAAAGATTCACAATTTTGTTTCTATCTCTTGAGCTTTGTGTGGATTGTTTTGCAGTATATTGGAACAATGGCTAACTGAAACATAGGCAAACTCTTTTTCTTTTATGAACTCCCCCAAAGTAACATTTATACACAATTCATATGATATAAGAGGGGTCCTCAACAATATTCATGGAAAATGTACATCAGCTTTTAATTATCTTTTCTATGAAAATTTTTATTTATCCTCATATGTCTTTGTTATACCAAGGGAATCAATTTGGAGGGGGGGTTCATCATACTTTACTTAATTGTTATCTAAGTATAGCTGCACCTTTTTTTTTTTATCATGATCCATCAGTATGCGTTCATGTACTTCTCATAATGCATAATACATATTATTAAAAAATTTAACATCTTTTAAATAACAAACATGTACATATTGGAATGAAGGACACCTATCCTATATTTTTGTTCTGTTGTTTTTTACTTCTGAAACAATTCTCATCTTTTCATTAGGCTTCTTACAACCACTATAGAAGTTGTATCTGTTTTATATATCTCATCTTTTAATTGTCATTTTGTGCATTGCCATGAAGAATCAGGTTCCTAGGAAAGACACTTTCATAATATTAACGTAAATATTCAGAGGCCAGTTATTCAATTATAGACTATTCACCTTGTGTTTATTTCCTCTCTTCTTTCTATATTTGAATATTTTCAGTTCATTTACGATCCATTTTGCTTCTCATTAACACCTCTGGTAAAGTGTATGGAGAAGGAGCTCATTGAAACTTTTAGAAATTAAACCTTCGAATTAGCTAAACTCTGCTTACTCTGGCTTATGTTATTAAGACAGATAACTTGGGGCTAGAACTGTGGCATAGCAGGTAAAGCTGCCACCTGCAGTGCTGGCATCCCATATTGGTGCTAGTTCGAGACCTGGATGATCCACTTCTGATCCAGTTCTCTGCTGTGGCCCAGGAAAGCAGTAGAAGATGGCCCAAGTGCTTGGGCCCCTGTACCCATGTGGGAGACCTGGAAGAAGCCCCTGGTTCTTGGCTTTGGATTGGCACAGCTCCGGCAGTTATAGCCAATTGGGGAGTGAAATAGTGGATGGAAGACCTCTCTCTCTCTTCTCTCTCTTTCTCTGTCTGCCTCTCTTTCTCTCTGTGTAACTCTGACTTTCAAATAAATAAATGAATCTTTAAAAAAGACAAATAACTGAGTTTATGGAATTTTATAGATAAATTTAACCTAAAAAATTCTGTGATCATTATGGTGTTCTTTTGGTTGTGTAAACATTTGGAGAGAACATCAAACATGCCGTCTCTTCATAGGACTTATTATTATAGCACTATTGGTGTCATGAAAATCCTTTATATTTACTCCAGCCTTCAGATTTAAGATTGTAGTTTACAGTGAAAAATTACCATTTCTTATTTTTTACCTAGTTTGCATTTATAGTTAAAATCATGTTTACAATGTATACCAATGTTTTGAAATACGCATATTTTGAAATGTCTATATAGAGCTAATGAACATTAGCATTATTTCCAGTACTTATCATTTTTGGTGGTGTAAACTTTTAACATCTATCCTCTTAAAGACTTTCAAGAATACAATGCAGTTATTAACTTTAGGTGCCATCTTGTACAATAGATCTCTTGAAACTATTTATACTCTCTAAGTAAAAGTTGTGATTCTTTGACCAACACGTATCTAACCCCTTTTCCTCCCCCAGTTTTAGCTCTGGGTCACCACCATTCTAGTCTTTGTGTTCAACTTTTAAAGATTCTACATATAAGTGACATCATGCATTCTCCTTTCTTTCTCTTCCTGGCTTATCTCACTTCATGTTCTCCAGATTTGTCCATTTTGTTCCAAATGACAGGATTTTCTACTTTTAAAATGCTAAATAATATTTCACTGGGTATGTGTGTGCCTATGACATTTTCTTTTTCCATTCACCCATTAATGGACTCTTAACTTGATGCCACACCTTGGCTATTGTGAACAGAGCTGTAATGAACATGGGAATGCAGTTAACTCTTCAAGACACTAATTTCATTTTCTTTGGATATATAACCAGAGCTGGATTGCTGGATCATATGATAGTCCTGTTCTTACCATTTTGAAGAACATTAACTGTTTGCATAATGGTTGTTAAAATTTATGTTTCCAGTGGTGATAATTATGAACTGTTTCATTGCAGTTCTCTGATGCTGGGGCTCTGTAAACTCCATGTTTTCTTTGCCAGTGGTTTATTGTTTATTAGTTCTGCCAATAAAGACCAGTAGAGGAGGATGAAAGATAGCTGCGTAAAAGAGACACATGTTTGTTTCAGTTAGTTGTCTATTGCTCCAGACAGTTTCACTTCGGCAGTACCTTTTAACCCCTGGAGTTTGTCCCAGCTGCTGGCTTTATTCTATATTCTTAGAACCAGCTTCATTGCATTTCTTTGGAGAAATAAGTAACACTCTGGCAGCAGCCTGTCTTCCAGTTCCAGCTCTTGAAATGTAGTCATTTACCCTCGCTCTAAGATAGGCAAATCACAGTTTATTAAGACCTGTTCTCTAGTGCTCTAATAACTCAACACCTTCCCTTGTTCCTCACAATCTATGGCTACTATCTCTGAATTAACCCTGTATTCCATTTTTGATTGCTTAATCCAATAACTCTTCTCTCGGTGGTTTCCTGTTGCCTGGTGTACCACAATGATACAGTACTAAGTTTAAATGTCAGTCACTTTAAATACAAAGCCTTTTGTTTTTTGCATTCCATTCCCAGTTGATCATAAGCCTTAGAAATGCAGGTTTTATATGTTGTCACAGGACAATTGCGTGGTTCCATACTCTGAATTCTAGGCATCTATTTTACATCATTTACACCTAATACTTTTTGGGTATATATTGACTTAGCCATATTAAGCGGTTCATTTGCACTATTCCTCCCATCAGATGCTGAGATAATTATCATGCTTTCTGAATTCATTAAATTGTCTATTTCCCACATGTTGTCATTATTTGGCTCATCTCTGTCCCCAAGGAACAATGTAGTTTCCTCATCCTCATCAGCCACTTGATGAGACTGAACAGTGTTGATGTCACCCTCTCACTTGACTTTTCATTATCTATCTCTGACTTGGCAAAATTTCCTCCCACTATTGTTGATGTGTGACTTTTCCATTATGCCTATTAGTTTTAAGTAAAGGATTGCCTTAGCCAGTTCTGGTCTAGTTCCCTCATGTTTCCTTTCTTCACAGCATTCCAGCAGTCATCAGAAACAAATTACACAATACCTTGTAATAAACTCTGCAATTAGGGTTGAGAAAATGGCTCAAGAGCAATATCTGCACCTTGATCCATAATTCTCTGCACTGCTTTAAAAAGTTATATTCTTTTTCTTGGGTCAAGCCAACCTTGAGGCTAATTAGCTGTTATGGTCCATCGTTCCATTCTATTTCTATTGTTGGTTCTCCCTACAGTATTCTCAGTGAAGAAAAGCTCCCCCGCATACCACACTGGAGTTTGATGCTATTGAACACAGTGTTCAGAGATGAAGTGACTTACTTTTTCTATTGTTCCCCAAACTAGGTAGATGAATGGTAATGTTTTGTATATTCCAGTCATCTTTTGCTATAGCACCAGCTTCACATTGTCCTCTGTTGAGCATCTCTGCATTTTTGTCACTTACTTTTTTTTTTTTTTTGACAGGCAGAGTGGACAGTGAGAGAGAGAGAGACAGACAGAAAGGTCTTCCTTTGCCATTGGTTCACCCTCCAATGGCCGCCGCGGCCGGCGCACTGCGGCCGGCGCACTGCGCTGATCCAAAGGCAGGAGCCAGGTGCTTCTCCTGGTCTCCCATGGGGTGCAGGGCCCAAGTACTTGGGCCATCCTCCACTGCACTCCCTGGCCACAGCAGAGAGCTGGCCTGGAAGAGGGGCAACCGGGACAGAATCTGGCGCCCCGACCGGGGCTAGAACCTGGTGTGCCGGCGCCACAAGGCAGAGGATTAGCCTAGTGAGCCAAGGCGCCGGCCATGTCACTTACTTTCTATGCATAAAGCATATTATAGCAGCCTCAGAAGAGAAATTTTTGTTACTGCATGCTATTTTTAGATGCTTACCCTCCATCTCTTTGGAAGAGCCAAGAAATCAAATAACCAAAATGAATTGCAACTGAACTGAGTACAACATTTAGGAAATTTTCAAAGAAGATTTCTAAATATGTATGTTTCTACCCACAGTTTTCTTCCCTCTCTGTCTCTCTCATCAGCTACACTTAATGGAGTCTGACTTTCACATCTGCTGTCATATGATGAAATGTTAGCCAAATGGGAGACAGCATTGAATAAGGATGGGGGATTTGTTATTTTAGTAGCAGAAAATGTAAATTCAGAATTCTGAGCTATTTATCTCAATCTTTTCATCTGTAGATGATCTCTTCCCTTCTCCTTTATCCAAAATTGATTAGGCTGGTAGCCAGACAAAAATTTATAAAACTCTTGATATAGTTTTAGGGAAACATCTAGCAATGTAGTAAGCCAGGAAAGAAGGCAAGTAGTAGCTGAGATTCTGAGGTCCGCCAGGGAAACTCCTTCAAATCTGTTGACTCACTCCATAGATGCCCACAATGGGTGAGATCAGGTTGGACTTAAACTGGGTGACAAGAACTGAATCCACATCTCCTGTGTGGGTAACAAGGACCCAACCACTCAAGTCCTTACCTGCTGTATCCCAGGATCCATATTAGGAGGATGCTGCAGTCAGGATTCAGATGCACTCCAACATGGGACATAGGTGCCTTTACCAGTGTTTTAAATGCTAAGTCAAATGCCTGTGCCTTAAGTTTGATTATTTTTTAAAATTGCATATATCATTATATGTTCTGCTCTTTGTGCTTAATGACAGAAGAGACAAGAACATGGCTAAAGAAAGAATAAGCAACTTAATATACTATAGATTCATATCCAATCCTCCCTGTTATAAAAATCACAAATGATGTCCAAAATTCTATTTACTTCCACAAATAAGCAGAATTCTTCATTAAGACACTGGAAAACGACATAGTTAACATGTTGGTTTATTTATTCACTTGACTTCTCATTTAGCATCTTCATTTTCCTATGGATATGGTATATTAATATTGCCCTTCAAATAGCCACCCAAATAAACATTTAAGAGACTTACTAAGAAATAATGAGAAACCCTTGCCAAAGCCATTTAGATTTAGATAAGCAAAATCCAATAATATAAATTTGAAAATAAATTGGAGGACTAATGA